TGCCAGTGGCTCTTCCAGGAAGAACAGTGCGGTCATTCCTTCCTCCCCCATTACACCCAGACCTCTGCACCACAGACTGCCAAGCTTGGAATGATGGCTGCACTGAACTTCTTTGGTTATCCACTGCCAACCACACATCAGGTTTCCAAGCACCTACGGCTGCTCCCCTCATCTATTTTATACCACACCCACAAATTGTCCTAATCATTAAAAAGAAACAGCCATAAATGCAAACAAAGATGATCAATTCCTACCTTCTGTTCAGGTGTCACAATCGGATAGTTTTATTTCTCCCTTTTCTCTTTTTTACTCGATAAATGTCGTTTCCCAACAAAGCAAAGAATTAAAATGTGTAATCTGTATGATTGTAATGCTAAAATTACCTGTATCTCATAAATCATCACCTGTGACATTGACATTACAGCTTCTTCAATCTCCCACAGCGCCCGCAATCCAGTCCTGCTATCTTTGTCAGCAGGAAGTCTCAGCTGACCCTTATTAACTGACTCAGAGATCGCTGTTTGTAAAAAACAATTTTCTCCAGCTGTTCTAGAGCTGGCTCATCTATTGCACCAATAATAGAAGGAACACCTGCAACCCTATCTGGACTGCACACAGCTAATGTGACTTTTCCAAACAGAATTACTACTCCTGAAAATAGGAATACACATAAAGGCTTTTGATTTTTCATTGCTTCTCAAAGAGTTACCATTTATGAATGTCTACAGTGAACTTTACTGAGAATAGGTTTAGTACAATACAACAAGTAAAATGTTTCACACAGAACTTGCAATATCTCAAGTGGTAAATGGCAATATGCAGAGAAACTAAACACCATTTCAAATCCTACCTCTGAATCCTTTCAACTCCCTTGCTTCTTTTATTTATTTTAAAGATTTATTTCTTCTCAAGAGCATCCAAATAGTCCTTTACAAAGAAGCCATAAATTAACATGCCTGCATCATCGACATTATTCTGCTTCTGGAAACACATGCACAAAGCAACTTATCTATGTAAATTTTAATAATCTTAATTGCTACAGTTAAACTACTTTGTAATCACTAAATCACACAAGTAATAATTATACCTTCTTCAGCGAAGAATTTTTCTACAGGTCCTACAAACTGGTTGATCTCCTGTAGTTCTTCTTTGCTAATTTCTGGGTAAGGGAAAACTTCTTCCTAAAATAACAGACATTTTTTTTTAATTAAAAAAAAAAAAACACAACCAAAAACAGAAACAAAAAAGCCCTAAAGCAATTGAAAGAAAAACTCAAGAGCGCAAGTCCTTCAAATACCAGGCTCTAAGATCTGTGAAAATCAAGGACTGTGCTGAGCGTTCAGAAATTTTATCTGATGCAATGAACAGGACTTGACTAAACTTCATACCGAAGCACATCAGAGACACCGAGCGGAAAACAGAGATTTCAAGAATTCTAAAGATACAGAAATTCTTTGTTAATCGTTAGTTTTGTCAACTTAATCCCACTTTGGAATTAAAAACAGTTTCCATCTGCATCAGAATCATCTTGGCAATACAGTGTTCTACATTGCGGGTACACAGATGTGGGGGTGCTGTTCTATGCTGCTCTTGATCATCCTCTCAGCAAGTCAGATTCTTCATACAACCATTCTGATCATAGACTGGGAGTGGCACAACCCGGTGGGTCTGAATAAACAAAAACTTCCAAGCAATCAACATACAGAATTGTTAGAGCCGGGAGGGACCCTCACAGCCCACCTGGCCCCACTCCCCCATGCTGAGCAGGGACACCTGCAGCTCCATGCAGCACTCAGGGCCTGCCCAGCCTGACCTTGGAGTCTCCAGGGCCTCCTCACCACAGCCTCTCGGTGCCAGTGCCTCAGTAAAGTACTCCAAAGTACAAAAATTCTTCCTTAAGTCCAATTTAAATCTCTCCTCCTTCGGTTTGAAAGCATTTCCCCTTGTCCTGCCACGCACACCCTGCTAAGACTCCGTCCCCTTCCTTCTCACATTGGGGATGGCAGGGTTGCCAGGCCCCACACCTGCACTCGGCGTTGCACTAATTACACCTCATGAGGTTCACCTGGATTTGCTGCTCTCCGGGTCTCTCTGGATCTGATCAACGCCATGCTTTTTCAGAAGACTGCTCTATTGAAATTTGAGTGGAAAAAGGCACACACCAACAGGCACCTCGTGGGACACAGCCTGACTGCGACTCCCCGCTCCACGAGCTCTCAATACTTCGTCGTTAAACTCGGCGCTGTCGGTAACACTGCAGATTCAGGAGACCCGCCAGCCCGGTGAGGCGCACCCCGCAAACCTCGCACTGAAACGTCCGGCCGTCACACCGCTCACAGTCGCACAGCCCCAGACCCACCCGCAGCTCCCAGCGAGCCGACACATGTGCGGCACGCAGCTGCCCGGCCCACGGCACCGCCGGCACAGCCAGGCAACGGGCGGGCACCCGCGGGGCCACCCGGGCGCAGATCGAGGGCCGCTCGGCCCGGAATCCCTGCGGGGCCCTCAGAGCCACCCGGCGCCGACCCGCCCGCGGTGCCACCGCGAAGTACGGACGCGACCCCTCCCGCCCCGCGGCGCCGAGGGGGCCGAGCCCCGCCCGCCGCAAGGCGCCGTTAGCAGTCAGCCGGTGCCCCGAACGTGCCGCGCTCACCTTGCGCAACGCCCCCAGGAAGAGCTCCTTGGCGTAGGCAGGCCGCGGCGCGGCGGTTCGCAGGCGGCGGACGGCGGCGGGGCCGGGCAGCGCGGCGCGCAGGGCGCGCACCAGGAGCCCGCTCATGGCGACACGGTCGGCCGCGGCGCGCGGCACTGACGGCACAGCGGATGGGGCCGGGCGCGTGACGGGGCGGAGCCCGCCGTGCTCTCGAGGCCCCGGAGCGGAGGGCCGGACCGGCGCTGCACGAGGGGCGGAGCACGCGCTTCTTTTGCGCCACGCCCGGCCGCGGGTGCCATAGCGGCGGCTTTACCAAGTTTCGTTCACGCGGGAGTCGGGTGCGTGTGAAACTCCTCGTTTAAAGGCTGCCATCACGCCTGCCCTCGCAGCTGTCTCTCGGGCAGCGCGTTGCAACGCGGGATCCGCTCCCAGCAGGCAGCAATGCCTGCCGTCCAGCGCAGCGGTCCCGTGCACGGCTCAGACCAGGAGGGGTCACGGCCTCACGCTCCGCTAAGTGTAAGCACAGGCACCGCGTGCTCGTGTTGCAGCAGCCTCGTGCAGGTATAGGGCTGATGACTGCACCAGCCACCGGTCTGTGCGATGCAAGGATGCCTTACGTAATGAGCACAGCAATAGATAAGAAATACCGATTTCTGTAACCTTTCCTAATTTTCTGTAGATAGAAAGAGACTCCGGTTCTCTGTTAGATGGCAGTACGTTCACATTTCCATAGCTAGGAGGATACAGGACTACCAAGTACCAAATCCAAGCTTCTGATCTCCACCTGAGATGATGGAGGCAATGCCTGGCATGTGTGGGTGAGGAACACTGAGCTGCCTTCAGCACTCGGCAGTCCTTAGGATGGAATAACAACACAGTAATGTCTCTTGAGAGGATAAACTAAGAGCGTAGGTAAAGGATTGCCTGAAGAAGGTGATCCAAACAGTGACAACAAAGCTAGGCCACTAGAAAACAGCAGGAGAAAGAAGCCTCACTGGAATTTCAGAAGATCTGAAATAACAGCATGCTGTGTGTTTATTTACTGAGAATGAGACTGTGATCATATCCTACAAGAAGTACCTGTAAAGAATTTTCTTTCAATCACAGAACAAATCACAGTGGAAAACAGCAGATCCATGGCATGAAACTACGAGCAGTCTGTCACTCGTGGATAAAGAACTCTCTGCTTAGTTCTGAAAATCTCAAGTCTACATCAGAAGTGTATCACACCATTTATTTTGCCCCCTTCATGCAACTCTTCCTAATGCTCTGTATGTGACCACAACTGAAAGCAATCTTCTGGCAGCTGCAGTTCTCTGCAGCTCGCCATGAGACTTAATTCCTCTATTCTGACTCTTAGCCATCTTCATTGCACAGAACTGTGCAATATGTTGCTAAAACATCTTTTTCCTCTACTGTTTTAGGGATGTCCCTGGACTTCTTTGCCCACTTTTCTTTAACACTCATCTCTGCTGTCTGCCACTCAGCTATGCACCCACATGTTCATTTAATTCCAGCTTCCTCTGAAACTGCTAGGCTGCTCTTCAGTATACTGCCTTCCTCTAACAGAGAGCCGCTCAGCTGTTAGCTCTCCAGAACACACATTCTGTGCTCAAACTGTCTGCCAGTGATGTCAATTTCAGTCTATTCCATACAGAACTGCTTTCATAAGGAATTAATACAACAGATTTTTGGATCAGTAAATGAGTATCATGAGATTACGCTACAGTTTTCTTTTCCTTTTTACTCTATTTTTCAGTAACTGCTTAAAAACTGGTATTCAATAATGTAACTCATTGAGAGATGTATAACTTACTGAAAAAGTACCACTGCAGCTCTAACTTGCTTTACACAAATATTCGTCAATCCTTGCAGTTCTTCCAGGAAAATACAGACAGTTGCCTTAGTAGCTTCTTCTCTCTTTATAAAATTGTTTTCACCTTTTCAGTCAGACAGATGCTAGGGAAGTTTTAGCACGTGCAGTTCCTTACTATCTTCCCTTTGGATATGTGTTGCTGTACTCACTGCATCATCTCTCTTGTCTCTGAATATTTAAAGAAAGTTGGTTTACAAATTAAATCTTGAGAAAGGTGAGAGCAGAAACTGGTATCTCCATTTTATTTCCCAGCCATGTGCTGTGGGAGTAATGTCACATTTGAAACACGGATGTTAATGGTGTCACTGTGTAATGTTTGTCCAGGTTAGCGTGCATCTGGAATTGAACAATGGCTATCATGAGAAGTATCTGAGAAAAAGAAACGAATGCACATCATTAGTGAAAGGGATTTCCCACATCTTACAGTGGCACTTACAACTTACAGAGGCAAATCACCAATTAACTCTGGCAATCTTCATTACAGAAGCACTAAATTATCTCAGCATTTTATTCTGTAAAGTATTCTAATTCAAATAAGGAAGGTTCACAAAATTTTCTTTTTAACTCAGTACACATTTTCCATTGGGCTAGAGTGTTTCTTGTTATTACTCTTTTAAGCTTTAATCACTTTAGTTTTGAAGCACAACAGAAGCACTCCAAACTATAGCCATTCTAACTTCTTTGTTTGTTTGTGTTTCCATGATGGGTAACATCAGAGCCAGAAGCAGAGCCAGAATTACCTGAAAGATGGAAAAAACAACAACTTATATGATAAATTAAGTAAAAGCGTCTCACAAACTTTTCTTCTCTGTGTTGGGGAGGAAATATTAACTAGTAAAATGAAAGTAAAAATCAAGAGCACATGGTGAGCTTATGGAGGAGGTAGATGCTCACAGGAGTCCTGTCAAGGTCAAGCATTCAGCAAAGGACACGCTCCTCTGCTTCTTTTCCTACCCTCCCAGTGCAGCATTCCTTTCCCACAGGCACAAATGGCACCATGCTCTCTCCTGCTCCCTTGCCTGACCTACAGCATAGCTGTGGGGGCACAGTGAGGGACAAGGACTGCTGGTTTGAATGGCTCAAGGAAGTGACGTGTCAGTCCAGTGATCATGTGCATAGCAGAGGCTGCACGTATTCAGTACTGCTGGATCCAAATACGATGCAGCTCCATGTCTGAAAATCAGATTGCTCCTCATTAGAAACAATTTCATAGCGCTAATTATGAAATTAATTTCCAGCCATGAGTTGCCATGGTACCATTGCTGATAGATACCATTGCTGAATAGCATAGCCTTCTAACTCAGAGCACTTGCACAGTCCTTTCGCTTTCCATTCCCTTTGGCCAAAAAAAAAAAAAAGAAAAAAAAAGTCACATTTCTTTGTCAAACACTTCTTAATCTATTTTTTGTAGCAGAAATGAGAAGTTGTAAAGACAAAGTATTTTCCACTATGCATGCATAACATTTAATTTCTGTCAGGAGGAATTCACCTCATTCATCTTATTAAAAGAGTGTTTTTTCCTTGCTCATTATACATATCTGTTTATATCTCTCTGTTTTACTGTGAAGAAATAAATGAAAACTGTATGTCATTTTACAACAGAGCTGATAACTTGTATGCTTGTGTGATTTATTTGAGCTGCCTCTGCCTTGTCAACCATGATGCTATTTCACACCTCAGTTATTACAAAGTGCTAAATAAAGAGGATGCTTTTTACAACACTTTATCATAGAAATATGCATTTATATGATTGATTAAAAAAAAAGAAATCTAAACATCCTAACATTCACGACCAGTCTCTTCCTGAAGTTGATTAGTTCTGCCACATAATACAGAATTTGGCTTTAATTTTTAAAATAGTAGGAAACAAAAACAAAATGTTATTAAAAATATACCTAGGATAAAGCAATTTTTGCATCATACTATCTTCTCATCTTGGAATTTTATATCAACAAAATTTAGCAGCAAAAATCACTAAGAGACAAGTAAGCTAGCTAGAGATGCAATATGCTTCCTTTTGAAAAGGTGTACGTAATGCAGTCATAGCACTACTACAGATTTATTCTTGCATGCTACTCTAAGTACAAGTATGTTCTTCTACAAATGTTTATCAGTACATATATAATTTATCACACAATACTAACAGCATCATAATTCTGTCAGTTGTTTGAATACTTGCAGAAAAAACTCACTAGCAAGAAATTCATTCAAGATGTGTACTGACATATGACACAAACACCTAAGCAGACAAACACGAGGCTAATTTTAGGAGAAGTTTTCAAATCTTAGACTTCCATGTTTTCTGGTTACAACTCATACCAGAAAACCTTGGCCTCGTCCTTAATATTAGAATTAAATTGCTTATCCCCAGTACGAAGGCAAAAGCTTCTTGACTGAAGGCATTTTTCATTAGGTAGGCACATACAAGTTCTTATCAGCAAGATTTGAGGAATGCAATTCCAATAAGATGTGCACCTTGAACAAACAAGGATATTAAAATAATTTTAACAACTTAAATAACTGAGCATTAGACTATCATATGCTTAACTTACATTTATTTTTTAATAAGTTGCTGAGCATTATTGGAGCTGGTGCAAATCTGTCATGCAAATGGCATTTGACACTGACGTTTTCTTCGGCTGTTTATTTTTCTTCAGTAATGCCAGATTATAAATGCTTTCATTATAGTCTTAAATGAGGTAAGAAAACATTTAGAGAAGTTATTTAGTCCCTACTGTTAAGATGGAACAATAAAAAACACAGATTATTAGTAATACCAATATTTATTTCTGAATTCTCTTAAATTAGAGAATTCAGACTACTTGGCTTCTCCAAAGGCAGAAATATACCAAAGTTCTCAAAATCATGGTTTCTAAAATAGGAAAAGAAAGACCAATGGAGAGCAGCACTGTCAGTTCTTCTATTACCAGTAACAGACTGTGTAATAGTATCAGATCTACTTTAATGTGTCACACAGCTCCAAGGGATGACACATTGGTAGTATCTAGAGATAGATGGGTACTCACCCATAAAAAAAAAATTGATCAAGAATGCACTTTCTGAAAAAACAGCCATTCAGAAAAGGTCTTAGTTGACTATTCCTTCAAAACAATTCAAGAATCTCCTAAAATTCATAGGAAAAGAAAAAAAAAAGCAAACAACACTTAAATTGACAGTTAAGCATTAGTTTTAACTGAGACATTAGACGCACTGTGATTCATTTGAAGTATAGGAAATGAATAAAAGTAAAAACAATTGTCATCTGAATTATCTGCTGAAGTACAACATGCCTGCTTAGCGGTGTAAGTGTCATGGTGTACATTAAGACACAGCAAACAAACACAACAGGTACAAGTACAGGATAGCACTTACCTCGTTACATCACTTACTGAAATATGATGCTCTCTGCCAACAGGTGCGCAGAAGCAATGAATACTCTCTATTTGATCTCAAGAACGTAGATTACACTTAGGAAATGAAGGACATACCCCTGGGAAGGACAAACTTGAAACATAAGTCAAGGGTAGGCAATCATCTGAACACGGACTCCTATGGAAATGTGATAGCCAAAAGATTAATGGGATCAGTCCAACATGCTGGACAGCTCACGCTTAAGGAAATTCAAAATATGGTAACTATTTTTCAATGTTAAAATGCTTTCAAAAATATTACACAAGAACCTCTTCAGTGTTGCCTGCAGATCTAAGTGTTTTCTTTATTGCCCCTTATAGTACTTCAGAACTAAGTATATTCACAGTACCACCAAAAAAACCAAAGGCCTACTGAGACGTGGCCACACTCTTCACAGTACCAGCCATTATTTCCAACAACTTATCTTTAATTTGAGATGAAGACAGAAACCTTGACCCCTTTGAAAAGAGTAGCAGAATTCAAATCGACCCAGCGGGTCCAGGATAGCACCTGAAGGAATTTCCTTCATTTCATGTCTGAATAATTAAAGTTCTTGGATTACACAAGATGAGAAACAAAGAGTTTTAAATGATTTATTTGATTTCTCCACATGATCACAGTTATAGTTTTACATCAATAGGGTCTGTTACTACTTACAAACAGAATGCATATTAAAATGAAAGCACTCCTTTCTTCCCCATAGTTACAAAATGGGTCTCAAGCCTCCCCAGAACAGAAGCTTCTTGTAAGTGTAATTGTTTTTGAAGTCTTTAACAGTCTGCATTCAACACCTAATTCTAATAGTTTAATACAACTCAAAGCAGATTTTAGTTCCTAGCAGGAGATAGGTATTGTAGGCAACCTCCAAGTGACTGCAGACTTAGAGTAATACTAATTTACACACTATGTACAATTTAGAGAATTGTCTACTCCCCCTACTTGGTCCCATTTTCACCACCCCCTTTTCTATTTTCCAAATTTAATCTTGTTATTGGTTCCTCTTTTCTTTTAAATATATACACAATAATCCATTTTGCAGGCAAGAAGTGCGATGGTATTTTACAACGGAACAGCAAAATGCATGCTTAACTGCAGAAAACACACAGCTTCATATGGAACAGCAAGTCAACATCTAGAGATTCATTTTTTTAAATATCTGCTGACTGTCTTTCAGCTCATTTTATCAAGAAACAAGAGGCTTCTGCTGCATGCAGTACATGATGGGAAAATCATTCTACACTGTATGTTAGACTTTTTTCTTTTTAGCGATACAAGACGTACATTATATTAGGATGAACTCTGTTTTCTGTTTTTACATTGTTGCACATTTCCATTTTTAACTTAAAAGAAAATTAAAAACCCCAAATATATATTGAATTGTTGTCCCAGAAAAGATTTTTGTCGCCACACCTTCATTCTTTAGGCTTCCCTTTCATTTTTTCAAATCAGCAATACGACTTTGCCGCTTTTTTTTTAATGGGAAAAGAGAAACATGGTCACTCTACACAGTTCTGTACCAGTTTTTATTTGGCAATGGCACTTGAGAAAAAAATCTCAATTTTATACCTGCCTGCAGGCTAAAATATATATATATATATTAGTTTTTTTTAACTGCACAGTGTTTCAAATACTATCATTTTCCTGTTCTAGACATGACTCACACTGTTCTAAGCAACTGTTAACCAAGAATGGAATCAGAGAAGTTATACTAAAACCCTTAATACAGTTTAAAAAAAATAATCGAGTCCACTGTTTCTCCCTATTGTTTTGAAATAATGTTTACAGTTACTGTGCTCCTATATGACCGCCCTGATTTTTTTAAACTAGTCTCAAAATAGTCTGATTTTACACATGCAACTTAATGCACCTTAAAAGGTAGGCACAAATTCTTTCTCCACGTGCAGATGAAATCATTTGCAAATGTTTTTTGCATGCACAGTTGTGATTCTTCTGAACATTTAGTTGATTGCACATGGAAAATCAGTGATCGAGCATTAAAATGTGGCTTACAGTGTAAGTATAGAATATTTATATTTGACTAATTTAAATGAATGAAAGGGGTTTTGAAACAAAGCAAATGCAGATCTGGGAGATTTAAGGTCTTCACTGTTAACTGAGTAACACAGCTTGAGTCAGATTTTCCTCTCAGCTGTTACTGAACATTCTGCATTTACACAGCACACGGTGAATTTTACATTAAAACTCTGCATCTGAAACAAATACAGTCTCTGCTACTCAATGAAGAGGAGCACTCTTACCTCCATTTCAATCGAAAGATGCAGTTTGTGAAAGATATTTGTAACCAAATGACTCTATCTTTTCTGGAACAACCTATAAATTACAATTAGACTCTACTATTGGTACAGATGTATGAAGAAAAGTCTACATATTGAAATATGTTATCACTTTACTTCAACTAATATCAACAGTTAACACTGATATATTTTGCAAATATACAATATGTAGAGTGTAGCCTCACACTAATAACATTAGATGACATGCAGACAGTTCTACTTTCCCCTATAAGAACAGTATATATTTTTTTTAAACTGCAAGGAACAGAGCCTCAGGGGACCTGTAGGAGCCCTCTTAAGGTTAGCCGCAGACTTTAGACTTGTATGAGTGATACTTAAAAATCATAATGCAATCACTTGTTTTCTTTTAATGAAGACAATTTAGAGAAGGAGCAGAATGGGAAAATATTGCACGCGTGGGAAACAAATATGGACAGCTTTAAACAAAAGGCTAAACTCTAGATTGCTGTATTTGCTCTCTGTGGAGGTTAACAAAGTGCTGAGTTTGCAGTTTTGCTGGTATTGTGATATCAATGGTATGGAAGGGAAAAAAAATTACACACACCCCAAATATTATAGATGCCATAACAAGGCAGAACAAGCCAATATGAAGGTTACTCTCTTATTCTCACTTCAGTCTCACTTTAACTTCTTTCCACTTTAACTGTTTTCTTCGTTATTCCTGAAAAAATATTATTAAATATAAAATTGACTACTGTTCTTACTTTTACCCATCTCACACTGGAATTTTTTCCAGAGCTCATCCTCTTCAAGGTTTGCTTTTAGGCTGGTACAGTTTTGCAGTTCTGATTCCTTTGCCTCTACTGTTTAGGTGTAAAGTTCTTGCAGTGGCTCAAATTGCTGAAACTACAAAGTAGGTGCCATGTGTAACTGTACAGGGTTTAGGGATAAAATTTTATATCAATTTGCAAATGGTCTGACTACAACACATAAGCAACAACAGCACAGCCTGTTTTTATGTGATGTCTTGCAACTAACTGGACTATGAAAGTGAGGGTTTGAGCATAAACTCAGCCTGCTGAGTGCTGGTTACTTTCAAACTAACAAATGTGATGAGTAAAAATGGTGAAGCCACTTCATTGCTAGTGCATGGCTACATGGAATTACAGATCTTTTTTTCTTTAGTATATATATAAAAACCCTACACTAAATTCTAAAACAAACCTTCAAGTTTTAGAGCACTTCCACCTGGAAATGCTCTCAGACTAGAATTCAGCTTAACAGGGGGGTAAAAATAAGAAATTATGGTAAACAGGAAACAAAGTAGCTGAGAAAGATGGAAGTTTGCAATTTTCATGTTTGAGATGAATGTTTTTGCAGTGTATACATGCACCTGTTATAACTCTTCATGTGTGTTCATTAAAACATATGCATACAAAAGAAATGTGGATCATGTAAATTCACAGTTATCACAGCCTTTAAAGTGTCTAAATTTGTGTGACCAATGCTTGAAGATGACCACTGGTGAAAAGGTCATCCCTTACATTGCTACCATATAATTACTGCATCTTAACAAGTTTGCTTACCTGAAATAGAAGAGCAGTTATAATACTGATTACGTATGATATCATGTTAATAAAATAAGGATTTATACAAAGCAGTATTTGACTACAACAATTAAATGCTATGTTACTTGGCACATTTAATAATGATTGCTTAGAAATCTTAGCAAGTCCAGAGGACTGACTTCTAATGAAAATACTGAAATGTCTGAAATTTATTTCTAACATTTAGTGTTTTTGGTCTACTCTTTCATATGCTATTCATCTATAATACTGTCCTATCAAGTAAGTGGAATTCCTTGTAAAGTCTATATTGCTAGCTTTGTGGACTGAAAAAATTTCTTTCCAAGCACAAATGTTAACTATACAGTATATATATATATATTTATATGTATATATTTATATTATATAAAGTTTACTTACGTACTTTCATCAACCATATCAGGTCTACTTATTTTTTGCCCATTGACAATAAAAGAGCAAGAATGCAACACTTGGTTCTGTATCACTTTTTTCCTTTTATCATAGGCTATGTTTTTATTCTGCAAGTAAAATTGTCAAGGGATTTGGTGTAAAAGGTAATTTTACTCATATTCGGCAAGCAGCATGTTTTCAAGGCAGTCTGGAAATAAGAACTAACCAGATGGTAAGCATCTATGGAATAGATAAGTGAAACCAGTATTGATTGCACTAACTTGACTTATTTTTAGTATCAGCAAGCCTTTAAGCTCACACGACTCAGTTTAATTGTTTGTCTAGGTAAAAACTGACAATATTATTTGTTGCTTCCTGTAAGTGCTTTTGTAATTGTGTTTAAAACTACAGTTATTAAGAGGGTCAATACGTTCTAGACTATTGTGCTGATGCCGCTGTGTTTGGGCTTAGTGCTGGCTGAAGTGGACGGAGGTGGAGGCGGTCCATGGTGATGCTGAGTGTGCTGGGGATGAGAAGAGTGCCCTGGGTGTGGAGGGGGCAGTGGTGGATGAGGAGAGTGCGTATGCTGTGCGTGGGGGTGCTGCATGTAAGGAGTATGCTGGGAGTGTGCCCCATGCTGGGAATGGGGCACGTGTTGGTGATACTGGTGTGGGTGCTGGATGTGCTGGGGAGGGTGATAGTGGTGGTGGTGGTGATAGGGTGGTGGGTTCTGCTGCATATGACAGTACTGCGAATGGTGAGAGTGTACTTGTGCCTGGGTCTGTCCCTCAGCTGGCCCTGCATGATGCATGGCAGAAGGATGCTGTGAGTGTTGCTGATGTGGGATTACTGGAGGGTGTGGAGGTTGCTGTGATGAGCCAGATGGTGGATGGCCTTGGGAAGGTGGCTTTCCCCTTTTACTACCAAATAAGGAACCTAGAAGTGAGGAGGAGTTAGGCATAGTCTGGTGAGGGCGAGATGGACACTCTCGGGTTGATGTAGCTCTTCGGCGCATGTGAGGACTGCTAATGATGGACCCCTAAAAAGAAATTAATAGAAATAAAAATTAAAAAAAATTTTAAAATGTTTAAAAGAAAAAGTTCACACTGACCCACAAACTCCTCCTTCAGTGCTCACATGGGTGGAATATGTTAAAGAGTTCTAGGAAAATTTTATTTCCAACTTCTCTAAGTTGCCAGCAAGGCAATCGTGCCCTTTTTGGGACATTTATAGGCATTAACACTTTAGTATAGAAAGCTATTGCTTTAGGTATGAAAAATGTCACGGAAAAGTGGCATGACAAAATATCTAGGAGTGTGTATTTAAATGAAAAATACATTTTAAAATACTTAAAAATTACCATACTTGCTTTTTTAAAAACAACAACAAAAAAAGTTAACTCAAACTAAAAGGTTAAACACATAGCAGCAAACGTTACAATTCAGATTTCAAAAACAGTATTTAAACTTATTTAAATAGTAGTATTTTACTACTATACACCATAATGCTGCTTCTCAAGCGTACCTCTAAATTATGTGTTAAATGGAACCACATCACTTTTGCCACTAAGTTTTCTATGTGATTTTGTTTTCTGAGCTGTGGTCCAATGTTTTCTATTATTTAGCTTGGAACGATCTATTTAGTTTCTGGAAGTTTTGGGTTTGTATTTTGTAAAGAGAAATATGGGACACAACATTTACTATGCAAAATGTGCTAGACTTAAACTGCAATCTATCTAAAGCAAACAAAAAAAAAAAAAGAAAAAAGAAAAAAAGAAAAATCTGCAAGCTGAATTCAGACATGAACAGTATATATAAATGGTTTGAAGATGAATGAAATCTCATGAAATCCACATTGAATTAACCTGTCTTAATTCTTTTTTTTCCTCCCACGCCCTATCTGTGCAATTCCATGGTGTCATGACTGCATACACTGAACTAGAAAATAAGCAATGGGGATGGTTGAGCATGAAAATCAATAGTTTTAGCTAAATATCAAACAGCAAGAACAGTGTACTTTGTAACAAAGAGCAAGTGGGCTTTTAAGCTGGGACTAGACTGAAATGGTGGCAAAAGGACACATCATATTCATTTAACCATGCTTGCAGGAACAAAGGGAACAAGGTTAGCTCAAACCAAAAAATGGCATTGGTCTAAAACAAGCTGTCAGTGCTTTTTAAGCTGGAAGAATACAAAGTGAGTAGCCTAGGCATGCATTTTATTTGAGGCAGGCAGGTTATATGTTAGAAGAAAAAAGAGCAAAAAAATATGTATATAAAAGAAAGGTTTGAAATGCACATCATCACATCCAGCTAGACATCAGTAACTTCCTACTTACTTCCATATTGCTGTCTAGCGATCCTGCACTGCTGCGTCGCCCACGCTTGCCTGCCCAGGACATGCAACACCATAGATTAGAGACTGAGACAAGACCCGGGTGAAAAACAGCCGCTTGCCCTGAATCGCTAGAGGAGTCTCTAAATGCTACTGGGGGGCTGCAGGGAATTAACATTGCACTGGACTGGTACAGTAGCTCCTGAGGCAGAAACTTAGGTTTTTAAGGCCGTTAGTTAATTTAAGTTTCTGTACCTGACTGTAACTTAGAAGGCATTTCTGCTGTGAATCACTGTAAGTACTGGGGTGTGATAGTGCAATTTGTACAACTCCTAACACACATGTCTCTTAACATCTATATTTAGCAGTACGGTCATGATGTTGACCAGCAACAATTTTAAGTTGTTCAATTTCCTGGTATCTAATTATTTATGAAGTTTTCTTTACAGACCTGTAGCACTGATATATATTCATGGGGTGGTATTAGCTTAAACGTGTGATCTAATATTGGCAGATTCTGAACTTCACTGGGGGGGAATGCCAGTGGCATCAGTTTCAGCATTTCAATTTCGAACCTCAGTGGATTTCATATAATCTGCTTTCATGATGTTTTAAAAGAAACTAAACTTAATTTTTGATTAATAAATAAAACTGGAATCTGTCTTGACATTATGGCTAGATTTTGTTTGTTTAGCTGTGCAGTGCTTTACATTTAAGTTTGATGGACCTGTTGTTTGCTTCAATACTCTCAGATTGCCCAAGTCATTTGCCTACAGCTACACATGAAATACCAGGCTGTTTGCCTAAAGAACCAGAATACCTCAGTGATTATATATAGGACACAGGATCCCAGATTTTATGTCTCATTTCAAAGGGGAGAGAAGCCCATGGCTGCAGTGGAACTAGGCATTTTTAAAAAGATGTGTTGTTGAGCATAGCTTATGAAAGTTTCAAAATACTTTACTGAAAAGATTATAAACAATGCTAATCTCTGAAGAATAGCCAGTTTCTCAAGCTGCTGTAAAATCTGTATCTTTGTAGATAGACATGTTCTCTCAGTACAGCCATTTTCCTGCAATGCCAACTATCAGTGAATCTCCACTTCGTACTGGCAGGTTGCTGACCTCAGAATTTCCTACCCTAACAGGTGATTTTGGAGAGAAATGTGAGAATTTCAGAATCACTGACCCTACAAGCCACACATCCTCACCTTTAGAAGCTCCAGAGTTCCCTAATATCTGTTGTGTATGGCAGATAGTTCAGAAGAACTTTGGGACTGGTTTGGCAGTGGTTCCTGGGAGGTTTGCCTTTGCTTTTCGACAAGCCCTCTCAGAGACAAGTTTAGAACATCCGTAAGTCTTATGGATCAGTATGATCTAAGATTATAACCCAAGAGTGTTGGATCTTCGAACACAACTTTGACGTATTTAGCCATGGGATGCAGCCCTGCAATACAGCTTTCTCTTAAGAGCTACTGTTCTCTCTGGGCTACAGCAATATTTAATCCTCTCATTATCACTGAGAGTTACTCATGAGTACAACCTCCTGCACTGACATTAAATTCAGGGAAAAGTGTTTGTCGTCAGAGCGTTTTGGTCATCTTGTATGTTTGTTGGAATTTTCAGCAGCTCCCTCCAGACAGACTGTCATACATCTCTTGCTGCAAGATTTAGACTCATCAAAATCATAACTGACCCTCTCGTGGTTATGACAATACTTCACTTTCACTTCTAGTCAGGCTTTGATCTTTTTCTGCTCTGCTAGAGGGATTAGTACTGATTAACATTCAAATAACTCTTGCTTGTTTACACAAAAACAGAGAAAGACAACCATCTCTGAACTTAGCAGTGAATATTGCAAGTAAGACTGACAGTTGCTATAAGTCATTAGGTATGGCCAAAAATAAAAGAAAACAGAAAAATCGAATCTATTTTGCATATTGTGGGAGTGAAAGTACTTAAATGAAATAACCATGAATGCAGTATATATGGACAGAAAGAGACAGATGGATTTTTGCTTAGAATAACTTCAAGGCACAGAAGTACCAAGAACAAATGGAAAATCCTAATTTAAATGCCTGTAACTTCCCACAGATAGGCACTATCCCTACACAGAAAACTTAGTTTATTTTCTTGAAAACAAATTGAACCCAATTCCGCATTGGCCAACGGCACAATATGAAAGGTATTAACTAAATCCTCCAGAGCATTCTCCTGTCAGTCTATGTTTCTACAAGACTGTACTCTGGCCTTTGAGATGACAAACCATCTAAAAATGTCTTTCTAAAGTAGCAGATCAAATTGCATTTCAGGAAAAGGGTGACTGTGCTAGAATTGTGTGTAAGTACAACTGTACTGATACAAAGATTCGTTAGCTAATGTAGTACAGTGATATAATAAAAATACACAATTTGGCTTTGTAGGTCTTGAAAAAAAAGTTTGGAAAAAAACTTTAAATGGTCTTTTTGATAAAGCAAACTAATTTAGCAGCTCTTCTAACAATGAGTCATTACCCTGACTGTACTACACAGGTTGTGAAATTGAGATGCACAGCAGCAGCAGGATCTGCAACTACCTAGCTACAGATATAATGGATACTACCAACATAACTGGCTCAAAATTATCTACACAATAGACTCTAATGATAATCCACAGAGACCACTTCTCAGAAAGAAATGTCTCTTTGCAACATCAATGTTTTCATCTTGTTTTCTGTGTGAGGCAGCTACAATACTGTCATCACAGGTCAATTGTGAAAACAGTTGCTGGGTTTCTTCAGAAAGATTACTCTCAAAATACTGATTACGTTCCAGACTGTGAGGATACAACATAACTATATATGACCTTACTGACCTCCTTCACTGGAAAAGCAAACGGTGTCTTTTCCAGAAGACAAAGGTTGTTGACACAAAGGTGGCCATGAGGTGTCTTTATACAGTATATCTAGAGAATAATTTGGTACTGACATGGACAAATCACAAAAAAACTTGATTCACAAAAATCTGTTTTATTAAAAATTACTAAATTATATAGTGATCATTACTATTGTTATTCCATTGAAGAAAAGGAAACTGAACAATAGAAACAAGATGAAGGGAAAACCTCTCCCTGCTCAGAAAACTCTTCTGGTAAGGGAGGAAAAGACTGCTGGTATTCTATAAGATGCTGCAAAATCTGTGGGGGAGGAAAAAGATAACTGAGTAACCCTGCCTACATCCAATGAGGACAGAGCCAAGGGAATGCACCAGCTCATCACAGATTGAGTCAACAGATTAGGAGATTCTGTAATTGCATGAAGCCAGAGTCCCTTTAAGGGGATTACAGTGCAAAAAAGTTTTACAATCTTTTTTTAATTACAATTTACAATAAACTATTCTGAAAATAAATAAATGAAACTGTATGTCTGTGGGGGAGAGATGGAGAAACCTTTTCCCCTGAATGCAGGAAGAAATATTTTAAAAAGTTAACAGTCAACAAATGAGACTACATGAAGTATATAGATAGAATTGTTTTAATGCTGGGACTGCTTTACTGCAAATGCTTTTAAAAGTGATCTCTACTGGTCTGTGATTGTTTTGACACTGCTCAGGAGATTATGAAACAAACACTATCTATATTCATAGTAACCACTACACCACCCTGCACTTCTGTGCAGATTTGAGTACACTATAACCTTTTAACCAATGCAATAAATATTATCTGCACCTTAAAAATTGAGAGTGAGGGGCATAAAGCTTGATTTCCACTAGTGCTCATTGCTGTAAGCCCAATGTGAAAGAACTAGCTCCTCCAGGAACAGAAAAAAACACTGGCATTCAGATTGACTAGCCCAAAGTCATCCAAAATCAGAAAATCAAATAGCTTAATCCATGCTTTGGCAAACAAATCAATCTTCCCACATACTTACACTTTCCACATCTTCCTCTAAATCTACTAATGAAATAACTGTATATTGCATAAGTGGTGAAAAGGTCATCATTCCACTAGATTTCACAAAACTCAGCTACAACTGCATTAGAATTTGTTTATTGTTTAATATTTTCATGTAAATTAAGAATTCAAAATTACAAAATCTCAGTTCTTCCTCAATTACAGCTCAAGAACATGTAGTAAAAATAACCATTTTCTTTTCTTTTGAGAAAGAACAGAGCACGAGCGCTTCTGACACATTCACACCTTTGAGCAGTTGGTTGCCACATTATGCTTTTTAGTCCTTGGACCTGTAACTGTCAATCCACAGCGATCACTTCTACCCACAAAATCAGGACCTCATTCATATCATTTTCACAACTATCATCTAAACTATCACGGCAAAAGCACAGAAGACTAACCTCAGAAAGTGTTCCTGACGTTTGCTTTCTGACAGAGAAATCTTGTTTTTCCTTACGGTTTACAGCTTAAGGGCAGAATCGTTATGGTATCGACACTTATTAGACCTAAGCTTATATATTCACATAGTTTTCCAAGACAAGAAATGTAAAGTCTGTTTCTACAGCCACTGTTCACCAGATGTTGTGACATCTGGTTGAGAGTAATGGACTGGTTGTTGTATTTTTTTTTTTTTGTTTGTTTGTTTTTATATACAGTTTTGTCATATACACATCCAGTTCAACCAGATTCCCCTTTCCTTGAATCAATCTTTAAATGTTTTTATTTGCTTTTACAATGTTCACTGGGTAGTTTTCTGCCTTCTTGCAAGCGTATGTAACCAGGGAGTTCCAACATTAATTACTTATTTTTTAATATGAAAGGACCCTTTTGAAAAGTCACTTACATCCTACAGAAAGACACATATCCCAAATAGTCCCACTCCTCATTTCTCCTTGTTTTTTCCATGTTCCATACCACAAAAAGAAGATTTGAGGCCACCTAAGTCAGCAACTCTTTACGGAAGTACTCTCATCTGGTATCTCTGGGACACAGTAACTTGCTAACTAAAAGCAATGCATTTGTTACTCTTTGAATCATCTTTCCCATATCAAAACCAAGTCAGCCTCACATGTAAGCTAGTTACTGAGAAAAGGTAGAAAATGTTGGTATAATAGCAGTAAAATTATTATATGAAATAACAAAGCAAGTAACATGTCATTTTTCAAGTCAGTTGCACTGCACAAGACCAAACAGAAACTCTCCATAATTCTCAACTTGTTAAAATTAAGTTTAGTTGGGTTTAACTCATTGATAAACCCTGCAGTCTGTGAATGATTTCTATATTTTATCATGGAAAAAAGTTATTTTCAGTAATAAGCATGCCAAATGTATGCATGCCCTGTTGAAATGTGATGTTCTCATGATTATGAATACTTATTTATTGCATAACACCCAGAACATGAATTTAAACTTATGGCAACGTTCGAATGACTGGGATGAAAAATTTCTTTGAGATGAAAAAAATTGACTAAGAATTACATTTATGTGTAAACATACCTACTGAACTCACATATTTAACAATATGGCAGTTCTCATTCTAGTGAAATAAAAACAAAACAACAAAAAGGGATGATGAAAGTATCCTCAAATCTGAGATACAGTAGTGGTGAAGACTTAGTGACTTGATCTAAAATCCATTGAAGCCAATCAGGCAAAAATATTCAGCTTCAACTTCACTGTGGATCAAGGCCCTAGGTCTTTCATATGAGGCAAATGGGCATGAGGATGAAAATCTAAATGGAGAATAAAACAATTGAAAGAGCTTACTCTCTCTATACTTGTATGCACATACATAGACCCACAAAACATTGGCTATAATTTTAGTTAGATTTTATTCATTGCAGCTAGAATCAATTCCTCCGTTAAAAAAGAAAAAGACAGAGAACATCTACTACCAAAGACAGACATAGTACTGAAATTGTGGCTATACTGTAAACCATCACTGCAATTAAAAGAACAAATCAGATTAGGCAAGGCAGACTATGAACTAAAGAAAAGAAAAAATACAGTTGCTACTGCTTCCAGAAGTACTTTCTGAATACTGGACATAGTGTTCAGATGTGACTTCTTGCAATGACAGGAATCACATTTAACACTGAAACACACAGTTACTACCTGCGGTAGCCTGTATTACCATGGGTATGGCAGTTGTGCATTACACACACAAATCACAAAATAACACGTACCAAACTTTCTCCTGATTCTTCTTTAGCTTTTAAGTCCCACCACCACTCCTTTCCAGTCCTTAGCCATATTAATCAGCTAATAAATTTTAGAAACATGAGTGGCTTTGTGGGATATCAGTATTCTTTTCCAGAATGGTTTCTTTCATTATATTGGCAGTAATATTTCACAGTCACCTCTTTTACAAGAATTAGGAACTTTATCTTGAATTGCAAAATAATAAGATAGAACTGGGGACACTATATAACTGAATTACATAGTTCTAAACAGAATTTAGTAGGGCTTCACTCAATTTCATTCATCAGTGTGGTAACACAGGTACACTTGAGCACAAAATACATGGAAAGCAATTATTACACAGAGATCAGTTTCTTTGTTTCTAAGCCTACTTTATCAAGGGAAGAAGCAAAGCAGAAGAAAAAGAGAAAGGTAAACTAAGTGGGTTACTCTTAGCGCAAGTCAACCATTTCTTCTATAAAACACTTACAATTTTTCCACCGTCTTCACTCTCCTTTTAAAGTATATATAGCAATCTACAATGGTTTAAATGTTTTCAAATAATTGTGGCTCAACAGAACAAGGGTAAAAAAACAAACAAATTAAACACAAAGTATGACAGAGGAGCTATTAAAAACGTTTGTAGTTTCGGTGTTATTGTAAGTTACTCAAGTTTCAGTGCTCAGTTCTTAAGGCCTACTTGTGAGCTGCGACTTATGCATAAATCACACATCTTTGCATGCTGTAGTCAAAGCAAGGAAATAAAGGCAGTGCTTACCTGCTTCAGACAGGTCTCTAAGGGAGCTGCTCAGTGCACTTCTTTTCAGCCCTTCCCCTGTAGCGTAGCTGTCATCCAGGCAAGCTCTGTTCAGTGTCCCATTGCCAGAATCTTTTTTCAGACTGGAGCACTGAGACATGCTTGGACGCACCACTCCCTTCTGTTTTTCTAACTCAGCTGAAACAAAAGAGAATAATTTTTCAATTCATAGTTACTGGCTGTAGTGAAGCAGCGTAGTAACATCACGATTTCTGTATGTGATCACATAGATACTGTGGATAACAGCTAAGTGTTCATTTTGGTAGATGATGATAAATTTGAGAGGAAATTTAGCTCTGTACCAACAGCTTTAAAGCACAACATACAGGATGAATGGCTATTACTCTGTTGGAAAAACTGAAGATAAAATTCTGTGATTAGACAGTCACATGAAATCCAGCAAAATATGTATGTATGATTTGTATGAAAGCTACCTAATCAAGAGAATACAGGAATATAAATGTGGAAGTGCAGGAAAAAAAGCAGAATCAGAGAATGGTTTGGATTGGAGGGACCTTAAAGATCACCTAGTTCCAACTCCCTGCTTCCTTTAATTATTGAAAGGCCACAAGGTCTCTCCCTGGAGACTTCTCCAGGATGAGCAACCCCAACTCTCTTCAGCCTCTCTTCACAGGAGAGGTGCTAGAGGTGCTCCAGCCCTCTGGACATCCTTGAGGCCTTTTCTGGACCTGCTCCAACGGTCCATGTGCTTCTTATGTTGGAGGGCCCCAAAACTGTATGCAGCTTTGCAGGTGGTATCTGACAAAAGCAAAGTAGAAGAGTCACCTCCCTTGCCCTGCTGGCCATGCTACTTTTGATGCAGCCTAGGATATGGTTGGCTTTTGGGCTGCAAGTGCATACTGTTGAATCACATTAAGTTTTTCCATAAACTAACATCCCCAAGTCCTTCTCCTCAAGACTGCTCTCAAACTGTTCTCCACCCAGCCTGTATTTGTGCAGGACCTTGCACTTGGCCTTGTTGAATTTCCCGAGATTCACATGGGCCCACCTCTTTAACTTCTCAAAGTCCCTCTGGGTGGCCTTTTTTCCCTTCAGCATGCAGAAAAATTCAGTGAAAACTATCTGAAGGGCTGTAATCAAAAATTTCAGTCACATAAATTACTCTTTACATTCTTAATGTAATTTATACTAACAATTATAAATCTGTTGCTATTTAGAGTTTGTCCAGGCTAACTGTCCACTGCATCTATATTGTACTAAATTACTGTAAATAAACCTAGATGAAGTTTAAGGGATCACTGTGTTTTTCTTCTTTTAGGAATAAAAGCCATGGAAAAAAACTAAGTTATTTTGAAGTTGAGAGGAGTTCTAATGAGCTATGCAGACATTAAAGACTTTCTTACTTTGATTAGTTTGAAATTGCTCTACTATATGTACCTTTGTACTTACACTCTATTCTGTGCTTTTCCATTTCTTGAACTTCTGCAACTGACTCCCTCAAATCATCTGTAAACTTCTTCCTGTCCTGAGGATTTGGTGCATTGAAATTTATTAGTACTTTGATATCTGCTCCTGGAACAGCTGATGTGAGCCGTATGCCATTGGGATAATCTAGAAGAAAGAGTGAAGAAAAATGTGAATGCCAAAGCTTTGATTATTTCTCTAAATTAACATAGGAGACAAAATCAGGGAAGTAAAAGTCAAAGGGTATGGAAAAACAAAAATCTGTAAGACATTATGAAACTGCTTAACTGTCGAGATACAGAATAAATATTGAAAGGCAATCTTTATGCAGCCTTTATCCTTAAGGTATCATGTAAAATATAGAAGAAAAATCACAGAAAGAAAGAAAAATGTAGAGGGATTGATAAGTCTTATTTCATGGAACAGATCCCATTACCTAGCTTAATCAAGTTAAGTTTGCTGTGTAAAGACTACTCAAATATTTCTCAAGTACTAGAAACTGACTCATCCTGACAACTTAACATTTTTAAGAACACAGACACACACTAGCGTGCAATGTAGTGTTTAATATTCCCTAGTAATTTTGCATCCTGGGCACCCTACTTAATTGACTGTCTTTTTTTTTTTTTTAATTTTAAATGACTTGTGAAATTGCATACTGAGAAGTAAAATAGTCCATATTGTGGGCACCATCATATAAAGAGCAGAACTTTCAGAAAAACCCTCTTTGTCTCTTCCACTGTATGAGGCTAGAAATTTTAACAGCTACACAAAAATATTCTGTAATTGAGATAAAAGGTTCATTTACAGAAAGACAGTATATAATGAAGATATGCTCTGCTACAGACAACAGAATCAGCCTTTTCTTGAATCACAGATCTCCAGAGACAGGATGTCAGAAAAATTCAAAACGTGCATCCCAATGCACAAAGTTTTCTTTAACTCACTGCTTACTCAAATCTCTAGCTATGTATGCAATCTGAAGTCCAGGTGACCCCATGTAGTAAAAAAAATCACTCAAGAATCAGTTGATGATGTAAGGTAGTGTCTTCCCTCAAAGTCATTAGGTTTCAACAATATATAGAATTAAAATATTGAGTAGCAAGTGCAAGTACTAGTCCATTCTCATACTGTTCTCTCAGGTAGAAATAAAAGCTGCCAAGTACCCCAAGCTTCAAGGGACACAGAGAAAAAGAAGGGAGGAAGAATTTAATGCTTCTGCCAGGGTCTAATCTGCTTCTCCTAAACATATGACAATACCAGCTATCTTTCATCAAATAAGACAGCTGTCTTGTGTATTCTGCAGCTGCTGTCACTCAGAATACAGACAAATGGCCAAAACTACAATGGAGTCTGATGCTAAGTAATGTTACAGAAGTGGATCATATGATATAACACTATGTATCAGTTTGAACCCTGAAACCAGATATCCAGAGAACAAGTCTAAAAAGTATATCAGTTGAAGAAAAGATGTTTTTGAAACTGAACAAGTAAAGAAACTTATTAACTCCAAACAGTCACATTAGCTCCTTCACAGAAGAATCAATAAACTACAAAACTTCACATATTACACAAACAAAATGTTTTATTTCCAAATGATACTTCCCTACAACACACTGATTAAGCATCAGGAAGCACTGACATAAGTATTAATGGGTTTTAGTTATACTCTAAGAAGATTTACTTGTCCTGAGTATTTTCAGTGATTTTGACTGAAAATGTAAAACATATTCCCTGTGGTCTACTTATTTACTAGAGATAAATGACATAATTTCTCTTATGGAGCTCATCCACCTGTCAACATAGCTGATTTCTATTATTAACCCAAATCATTTTGTTCAACCTCACTAGTAGACAAACCAGTATTTTTGTTGCTTCTCCTTTAATTACACTAGATTTCATTCACTTGAAATCAGCTGGTCCTGACAGCTGCTACATAGGTTTAATGACTGGCACGATGGCTCTGGCCAAGATACCCTAAAGCTTGACTGGAACAGGGAAAATGGAGATGATCAATTTTATGAATCAGACAAGAACAATACTTCTCTTTCCCAAGTGAAAAATCACTGCATTCTACCCAAGAGACAGCAATATTAGAAGTACAATCAGCTCACTTATTCATCATCTTCTGGAGTGTCTTACCTGAGAAACCCAAATACATCTACTGAAGTGTCTCAGTCAACTGCCTACAGTTCGCTGGCAAGAATTAAATCATTTTCTGCAGGTCTCACTATAGATATTTTTAAGTTTACTTGAATAAAGTGCTCCCACTTGGTATGCTTATTGGTATTTTTCTTTTTTTTTTTAAACTGATATCAGAAGAAATAAATATTCTTCTACTTACAGTCGAATCCAGTACAGAAATATTTGCAGTTCCTCTCTAAAAATGAATTTTATATTACATAGAATATGCATGAGAGAGAGAAAGAAAGAATGAAGGTGTTTACATAAAAATAACTCATAGGCTACATCACTGCTATGAGGTCTTCTCATTCAAAATCTCCAGGTGCTTTAACTCATAAAGAACAGTAATTTCTTTTGAGTGAGATGAGCATTGGAGCTCATTTTCAAGGACAAATGAATGTAAGAGCTTTTCACAAGAGAGAAGCACAGAACTACTGAATGTCAAACTGAAATGTATCCAATTTATCATGAAAGTTGAGGTTTCATCAAATAGACTGTCTCCCTAAGAACCATGCAGACAACTGAGCATAGTCACATTATTACAGATATTGCCTCTGGCTTTAAAAATTGCAGGAGCATAAGCAAAACACTAGATTTTTGTTGGACTGTTGACAGCTAAGACTGAGAAAGCACTAGGGAATATTGGATTTATGCAGATTATAGCTGACATAAACAAAAAGGTGGCACAAAATCCAAACTTCAATCCAGAATCTTTGCCTAATTCTGTCTGGATTTATATTTGAGTAGGTAGCAGACACAAAGGTAAGACCAAATCAGGAAAATATATGAAACAGTGGCTTAAGTTACAGAAAACACTATAGTAGTCATTATTATCATATACTGAGTTCCAACTAATTGTACCACTGATTCAGCAACATTTACAATTTATTTGCTTTTTTACAACCATTCCATTATTTACAAGTGTTCACAAAACACATTTGCTTAGATCTGGATTCTGACAACTATCAGTCTAACAGCAGTCTTTGCATGCTGACACCATAACCTTCAGGACTAAACTCAACTCACAGCAATTTTATTCCTAAATTTAGAATCAAGTCCTGTCCAGCCTTTTGTTTTATACAATTTTTATTTTTTAATTTTTTTTTTTAATAAATAAAATCATGCAAAAACAGAGAAAAGACTTACACTGGTTCTCAAAAAGAAGAACTTGCATGCCATAGAGGGAAAAGGACTGTCGAAAGCTGTATGTAACAGAGTTCTTCTTCTTTTGAAATATCTTGGTCACCTAAAAGTTACCAAATAAATAACGTAAAATATCCCTTTTATCATGCATTTATAACCTTCCAGCAAAAATTAACTTCCTATTTCTTTCTTTTTTCATATTTCAACTTACGTATTTAATCTGCTGCTACCCCAGAAACAAAAAACTAGCTTTGAAGTACTGCTCTCTCATTAGAAGATTCAATATTTTATCCAGATGCAAAGCCTGTGTTTTCTGTTCTCCAGGACTCTACTTTTCTACACTCAAGAAGAAAAAAACCTCACATTTATTCTACACTGCACATGTTAGGAAAAACATATATTTTTTAAAATAATCCTTTGAAAGAAATTAACTGCTACCACACTTTCCTTCATGCTTTCTTCTCACTTTGACTACAGACAGCCCATTGGTATGGACTTCTCAACCCACGTTTAATTCTTAGCCCTTCTCTCACCTGCAGTGTGATCTTCCAAGCCTCTTCCACTTGTGCACCTCCAAATATTGTCTCACACCATCTCATCCAATGAAGCCATTTTTACCCTGTCATCCTATCTGAACAAAAGCTCCAAGGTCTGTGGAAACCTTTACTTTTTGCTACAACACAAGTAACATAACCCTACTTATATCAGTTCTGGGGTTCTCCTAAGTAGTGAAGGGAATGACTCCAATATCAAGAGATTGATTTTTAATAGTTCTTTCTAACTTTTGCTTTTTCCATAGCATTTTACTAAAACTAACAAATCTCTTCTACACTACCTACAGAAAATTCTGATAAAATTACAGGCATCTAAGTAGATAATAAAAATGAACAAGAAGTTAGCAGCCTGAAGATGACAGCACTTTACCAATTTACATCCAAACTCACATTTATGTATCCTATTCCTGTTTCAGTGAATAAACATGCTTGGCTCATACAACGTCCATGACAACCACAGAAATACATAATCTTGTTTTTCTGCAAGTAACTGGAATTCATTATTTATTGAAGGGAGACATTCCGTAGAGACACAGTTAAGCTAGAGGTTATTTTTGTTCTTTATAATAAGAGCTATCGTTTTAAAGTACTTTCTTATGCTCTACTGCAGTAATCAATAAAAGGCTTCCGTTTAAAAATAGTTTATATATAGTGAACAAAAGTAAGAAAATTAAGAAGAAAAATTAAGAAGAAAATTAAGAATTAAAAAGTAAGAAAAGTAAGAAAAAAAATATTAATCATTCTGAGATTGCAGGATTTCAGAGTAAAAGATGTTTATGTCTAGGAATGTTCATGCACTTATTGCTGCTGACTTCACAGACAAAGGCATTTCTGAATACCACACTAGAGGTCTTTTCAACCCCAGAGATAGTAAAAGCATACACTGAAAAAAGAGAAGAAGTCATTCGTCCCCCAGAGTACTCCAGAAAAAAAATGTGTTAGATTTTATAAGCAATAGGTAAAAATCCCATGAACAACCCGGTGATAGTTCCGTAAAGGCCTCCCATATCATAGTCCTTACTCCTACACAAAAGCACGGTGAGAATTACAGGCAAAATTTTGTTTCAGTGTAAGCACATGAACAGAATAAGTCTTGTAATATAATCAGGTTTAACACTGAGTAAAAAGGAAAAACATCAGTCCTCTCTGAATCTTAGCATTAGCAAAGGTAATCTTACAAAAAAAAATGAAGCAAGACCCCCTGAAACTGAAAATACATACCACAAGAAGGTCATTAAATAAAAATATTTCTCGCTGGTGCAACCCAAGCTTCTGAGGTTTATTCGGATCAGGAACTTCAAAGAGTCTACAGTAGCAAACAAGCCTTCGGTGGGGTAGGGAGAGGACCTATGGTAATACAAAAGTTCATGGTTACTACAGCAATATTTAGCCAAAGAAGAGGACCTTTCATACCGGGAGTCTTTTATGAGTAATTCAAATATCTTTTACCTCTAAGCTCATTACACTTTTTCAATAAAAGAGGAACAATGCCAAAAAAAGATTTCTATGCTACAAACTGCATGACATTCAAACTTCAAGAACACTCTTTTATCAATTCTAACAGCCTGCATTTGGATGTCATTGGAAGGCTCATTAGGGGTAGATCCTTACTTTGTGAAACAATAAAACCTTAACAGAACTCAAGATTAAGCTCACAGCACATTTTATTTGCTGCTTTCCTGATCATTTTCACATATCAATATAGGAAACAAATTCAGCTTCTGTGAGATGACAAATTTAGCAACATTGTAGATTACTTTTTGTCAGCCACTGAGTTAAGTCAGGTTTTTCATTCCCTGACACAAAGGAAAAGGTGACGTTAGGATAGTAAATGCACTTTCAGGATGGCTTGTTTTCTCACGCCAGCAACAAAACCAAGAATTATGTTCCATTTTTTTATTAGAAATGCCTGCTGAACCTATCGCCAAAGCTGTATTTTTCAGTCCAGTGAGACTTCATTTCTTTCAAATGCAAGAGATTATGCTTTGTTAACAATACTGAGAGTAACCCTTTAAATTTTCAAGTAGAGAATACTCTTCAGTAACTGGACGTATTTCATTTATATCTTGCATTTACTTATAATTCCTGATTCCGCATAGGAATGATGGCATTTACCAGGAAAACAAAAGCAGTCAGACTATTAAAGCTGCTTCTTCCTCTATGTGAGCAGGAAAAAAGAGTAGAGTGGAAAAAACCTTAAGTGTTTTTTATCTGCCCTTATTCCTGATTGTTGTCACTTCATATGATGACACTTCAATCACCCCTTCCAAATAAAATGACAGCTGCTATTAACAGACAAAATTTTAATAGCACTTAATTTATCTATGGCATTCGTTTAATTACTCATCCTCCCTGGGCTTGCGGGGAAAAGGATTTAAAAAGTATATCTGATATTTTATAAAGAAGCCAATGTTGTGAAGAATGCTGGAGAAATCAGTGGTTTCAAACTGACTATTCTGGTAATTGAACAGTTTATGGGGGTTCTCAATGAAAAGTAGCAGGAATAAAAGTTGCATGTCCTCATTGTTCCCTGCCTCCAGGTACATGGCAGACTTAAATTTACTATTGCAACATAAAGGGTATCACCCACTCTATGGACTTGCAAACAACTACAGTGAGCTTGGTGTTGAAATTTAACTATAGAAAATGTTTTCACTCATAGCAATGGATGATCCTGTAAGATTCCCTTCCACCATACTTCACAAAGGTAACATCTTTCAGTTGGCTTTCACAATTCAGTGATACTCTTAGACATGCAACCATGAAACAAAGACAGAATAGAAAGCTAACTCTGAATGCTTTTAATTACTTACATGGCAAAAAAAAAAGCAAAAAAAGAAAAAAGTAAGAAATAGAAGGCAAACAAATGGAATTTTAAAGTAACCTCCTTGGATTGCCCTGAGTGAAGATGTTAACATGCAGCACATTATATTGATAAAATCATAATTGATAAAAAAAATCATTAAGATCAAGTTTGCAGAAGGCTATCAGATTTCAGAATACTACATTCACTCCTTGACTATTTTTTTTCTCTTTATACGTTTGTTCTTCAAATTTAGAACTACCACCAATACTGCTATCATGAAATGAAAGTAAGTGAAATACCGTGTCAGAAGAAGAGTTTCAGAAATACTATTTTATGCATTCATATATTTTAGTTTTATAGATGTTATTGAACATGTCTACCTGGAATCTGAAATCAGTATCTTCTGTGTAGATCTAACTCTCACAAGAGAACAGTTAACATAAATTGCAATATCTTTCTAGAACATCATACAATATCAAAATGGATATAGAAATAACAAATAATAGACACACTGGAAACCAGATGGAAAGGTGAGATACAGCTGTAAGTTTGCTTGCTTGTTTACTTATTCTTTACTGGCTATTTAATGCCTATGGAGATTACAGCATTTGAAATAACAAAATGAGCACTATAAACTGCAGGCAGTAAATTAAAGAGTGTAGCTGGTAAACATACTTGTAAGGAAATCTTCATACTTTGCAGAGTTATTACAATAACTGAAAAAAATTTGCTTGATAGAAGCCCAATTTTTGAAAATGCTAAAATGTAACAGAGTGCATCATCACCAGTTAAAACAACGACAAACTTTGAATGAGTACAAGAAAAATACCTACACAACCAAGTCCATGATGCAGAGATCCAATCTACAGTAGAAAGACATATACAAGTTCATTAAACTTCAGAGAAACACAGTACTGTATCATAGCAAATAAATACGTCATGGTCTTACTATGACTAAATGCCTATAAAGTAAAAACAAATATTTCTATCAATAAAGACTACTGGCTATTTCCTATATTTTCTTTCACACAGTTAAAAGGATCTCAATAGAAGATCCTTCATCCTAGGACTCCATCGCAGCACTGTTTTTCCCCACAGCAAAACATGAGGCACCTCAGGATACTCAAAACCAGTATTAGAACTCCTTGGACCTGATTTCCAGGTATGTTCTCAGAAAAATGATATGATCTCCTCTTACAATTACCAGCTCACTGAGCTAGCTGCAAAACTCAGAAAAGTGTGCATATGAAGTTCTCTGCCACCCTTTGAAAATTCTGGAGTCATAACTGATAGCATAAATGTTGAAATATTATTCTCCATAACATCACGTTTTACTGAGAGAAAATGTTGGAAAAAATATCTTAAATCCAGTTCATGATTTGGAATACCATCATTCACAAGTATCAGACTAAAACTGATTCCAAAACTAAAGATTCATCTGCACTGAATACCTGAATACTCCAAAATAAAAAACAATCATAATGATTTATTATTTTGTCATTTTCAACTTTCTGCTTTTTAATAAGCAATTTATACATCTAAGCAACATAATTATGTGTTCTCCTATACTGTGCATTGCCCTACATCTCCTTACTATGTACTAAGTTACATTCTGGGCAAAGACTTACAGGTTTCTTTCCTACTATGAGTTTTTCAACCTTCTGGACTTGGGATACATGATCCTCATTTGTCTTCAGCTCCCGCTTGCGGATCCGCTCATAAATCCCAATCAGCATTTCTCTTGGGATATCTTCACCATCATCCACACCTACAGAATCCAACAGTTTTATGATCAATTGGTTTCGACTCATAGCTGTTGGACATCTCCTGTGATGTTCTTGGGCCCACCTTACCCAAGTGGCCCCAGTCATGTTACTGAGTACTGAAGCACTGAATTTTGCCCATATGCTTGCTATCTCCATACAACAAGGCATTGATTAAAATCAAACTGTTGGGTTTATTTTTTTAATTTTTACATCATTACTCTAAAACTAATTCCTAAAAAGGCTAATTTCCAATATAGATTATTTCCTTTTTTTCTTTACTTTTCCTCTGCTTTCCTATTAAAGCTCTAATGAATAAACTAACTCTTTAGATATTAAAATGTCCTTCTACCTCAGAACAGTATAACCTCTGCCCCAGTATTACTCAACACTGCTCAGAGATTCATTTCTACAAGACAGCCTCATAAATAACCAGTAAAATTAATTTAACCAGTATTTACTGTATGATTTCAAAATTAATTAAGTTAGCCTGGAAAAAAACAGATCAACAGAAGGGCCTATTTACAACGTCACTGTTTAGCACTGTGTGACTGTCATCAGCACATCAGCATACAAGCATCCCAACAAATGCCTGGAAGTTGAAAGCTTGATCATGCGTTTTTAACAGCAGTGGAAGGAGTCTGATTTCAGTAAGTGACTGAAAGGTAGCACTTCTGGCACAGGGACATGCATATATTTTTCTCACACTAGTTTTAAAGCAATAACCTACTGCTTCCCAGTCAGAAGGCAAAATACAATATTTTGTCACCAGGTGGAACAATTGCTGCCACAGAAAAATACTGTGATAAAATACGGTTTCTTTGCAATGAGGAAAAATGGCTTCTCTTTCACACCTGCAAATGTCCCACAGATCACCCTTGGAGATCATGGCATTTAAAGCTAGAAGTGAGGAAGTGAAAAATACCTACTATAATGAATTGCTGACATGTATGTTGGAGTTTAGAGAGACCAGTGCAACAAATACGATTGTAGTATTACCCTATCAAATGAATATCAGATGAATAACAGGTCATACTTAAATCTTTGTGAACTTATGTTAAAATCTCAATGCTTACTTAAATTTTGCTAAGCTAGGGCAACTGCTAAGAATAGATTGTTCATTACTGTCTTACATAAATCTAGGGGAATAACATCACCAAACAGGACTTTATTTTCAAGATATAAAACTCCAGAACATTACAAGTATTTTATTTTCACTAGCATTAAAATTATACTGGATGTGTAACGTGCACTCCTGAACACCAACTGTCATATACCTGAGAGTATATCTTCTCATGCAGAGCAACTTAGTTCTGTCTTTCTGTCATTTGTTCCACTTCTGGGTATCACTGAGAGAATGGCTGTTAAACAGTACATCAACACTTGCTGATGCCTGCAATAGCTGGCCTGTTTTTATACAATGCTGTTGCATTCACTGTTGCTAAGAGAAGAGATGTGCACAAAGTTGTGCTTATTGTGTGCTTGAATGCAGAGGGAGGAGGAAGGCAGTGTTACAATGACTTGTGTTAAAATGTGATTTTTCTGGGCTGCACACGAACACATGGTAATGGAACTACAATGAAAGCTTCTCTTTCCCTACGGACACAAACTACCCTAAAAAAAAAACAACAAAAAAACACCCGACATCTGAGTTGCAATAAAGCAACTGTTGATAAAGTAAATGTTATCTGAACACCCAGAAACAACAGAAGGTATCCTATCTCATGCATGATCTTCCTTAGCTGTACTGTGACAATTTCCTTTTAGATAAAGCTGAGCTCTTACTTCATAAAAATCTATTCTTTTTTTTTTTTTTTTTTTTTTTTTTTTTTACCAGGAAGTAAGGTATAAAGAGCTGAGATACAGACATGGAATAAAAAATGTTTGGCAATGTAATTACAGACTTAGGTGTGCCATAGGCTGAAAAATAGTTCAATTATCAGAGAACATACCAGTGAAGACACTGAAGAAATTTATGTACTATTTACTATGTACCTTTCAGGAAGGTTTTGAAGTTGTGATTCAGAACTAAATTTATACATTTGTAAACATGCATGTGCATATTCTTTGCAGAATGTCTTTACTGCAGCAGACTTTATTTACCTCCATTCCTGTGCACAGAAGTTGCTATCTTTATGAGTTGTCCTTGGACTTTGTAAAGGGTTTAAGCATGGCAAATTTCAATTGCATTTAAAAATTTGAGGCACTGGATAGTTCGGAATACACGGTAACAGTCACTTTTCAGCTACACTGAAAGAACTGAGAATAAAAGGGCTGCCAATACATCTCCTCAAGAAAGACAAGATACAAGTGACAAAACACTACATGTTTAGTTCTGTTTGCAGTATTGCAAAAATGTCCAAAACCTGTGCAAGTGATGGTGATTTTCAAAATCAGGAGAAATCAGCATAAACCAACCCCCTGCATTTTGCTTTTTCCTGGAAGATACATGGTATCCTTCCAGTGACAGTTAAAGGGAAAAACAATGACCACTGTGGTTAGAGTTGGCTCACCCCTTAGGTTCTTGACAAAATCTTCTAGCTTCATTTTGCGTTCCGGTTTCACATTTGGGCTGTACATATCTGTGTTCAGCAGTATAATGGCAAAAGCTAGAATGAAGATGGTATCAGGATTCCTGAACTGTCTCACAACTCCTGGATTGCAGATGCAGTAACGTTGGCTATAAAAAAGGAGAGAGGAGAAAGCTTTCAGTGCTATGAATTAATATTAGAATTTCACCACATAAACCAACTGCTACGTTCCAGAGGCTGTGTAATTATTCATGCTCTATGCATACATTTTGTTTTCCATCCACATATATTTTTCCATCCACTATATTTTTATAGGCCTATCCTACAATTCTGGAAGGCTTTTGGCTTTTACTGCCTTTTTAACTCGTCTTCTTAGTACAGACCCTGAGCTCCAATAACTTCAACTTCTTTATTTTCAGTAACGCTCACTGACATCAGTTGAGAACACAGCATTGATTTTAGCTCACTGCTGATTTACATCTGCCCGGCATTAATAAATTAATACTCTTTATTCTGCCATTGTTAGAATTATTAATGAAAGGTTAAAAGCATATATACTCTAAGAAGTAAATGGCCATATAATTTCACTCAAAAAATGCAAATATTGTATGCAAATACATTGATAAAGACATTAAAAAATACCTTGAATTTCTTTTCAACTGATGCATGAAAACTTTCAGTTACAGAGCCTTCCTCGTTAGTGCAAATAATTTACATGACCAGCACTAGCAAATAAAGCTTCCAGTAAGTTTTTATACTTAGTGAAACCACCACAAACAACACGCTGTATTTGAGACTGTCCATGACTCACAAGGACAGTGCAAATAAGGAGAGAAATAACTTAGACTCAATTTCCCCACCTCTCCAGTCTGACAGTTAGACAATAGCAAGTTCCTCGTGACTGAATAATTTATTTCAGTGTCATACCTGAAGGCTTCAATGAGCCGTTCTACTTTCTGGGCTTCTCCTTGAACACGGATATGAGCCTGAAACTTCCTGAGTGCTTCATCCAGTTCCATTGTTGAGAAGTCCATCTCATCCACAACACAACTAGGACAAAAACATATTGCCACTGAGTCACTGCATTTCCAACAGCACAGCACCAAAGGTAAGATTTTGAGACCAAAAAGTCCTTTCAAACTTCATGGAGTTTTTTGAAACCCTCAGCAGCAACTGCAGTAACTGCAGGTGAACTATGAAGGAAGGATTGCAAAGAACAGATCAATGAAAAAGTGCACCTGGAAGGAGGCCCTTAGTTGTGGTTTTTTCTTTTTTTTTCTTTTTTTTTCCATTAAGCAGCAGAGTTGCTAGAATGACAACTGTCTGACTAATCAAAGCAACATGTCAGTGTCAGGAATAATTACTGCACTTATGCTTCCTGCCCAATCAATAATTATTAGCCAGTGTTTATAATAAAGAGCTTATATTTTTTGAAATATCAAATTTTGCAGCTAGCACAATCACCTGTACCAAATGGTTGTATCTAGGAACATTCTTATACACTGAGCAAAAAAATTAATCTTAATACACGTCTACTATTGCTGTAATTCTCATCTCCCCATCATTTGCCATGTCTTTCAGGTAACTTTTATGGAAAAAATAATTACTTCCTTGCTCTGAAAATACAGTGCTGATCAAAAATAAAAAGGAACCAGTTAAATATAATCAACAATGCGAACTGTGCCATTCCAACACTTTGTTTAAAGACTGCTTTAAAATTGCAGGCTTATGAATTTCCTTTGGTTAAACTTTGCTCATAGTTTTTACATAATCAGACATGAATCACTGCAAGTAACAGCACTATAGTGCATAAACCACAGAAAGCAAGCACAATCTGGTTTTAAAAGCCTTTCCTTAAATCTATAGTTATACAATGACAAATTAGAATAGCTCACATTGCTTTTTCTAATAATATTGTAGCTAATGTAGATTAATACTGAAGCAATTTATTCACTTGTATATTTTTTCTTTCATGTTGAAGTGCAGGGAAACAAACAAAGTTGGTATTTCTCACGCCCTTTGCAATCCACACCTAAAAACCTATTATCAATTCTGCAATAATGTTCATATTCTTCCCACCTATTGTAAGACCTCTAACACTTTCAAAAGCTCTTTCTTCCATCAAAGATGAATAACAAATGTGCAGGCAAGCTGGAATCCAACTGTAGTACAATTAAAACAATTACGAAAAATGCTGGCCAGCAGCACAACAGGAAGGGGATTTAATCTTCATAACATGAACTGCAGAATCAGCAGGTACTCCATTCTTAACTGGAATCAGTTAAGATTCTGCAAATATTTCAAAACAGCAAACAAAACTTTTCTAGTGTCCATGTAATGACAAAAAAAAGGGAGGGGGGAACAAATTATTTAGTTAGATCCACATCGAGTGAAACAGCAGAAATAAATATCACTATTACACACTTGTTAAATTTGTTGAATTTTTGTTAAAAATGGTTAACAAAACGATAACCTTTGATAACAATATCATAATACTAATGGTGATGAAGAGAATGTGATCAAAAGGACTTCAGACACTGCAGGACTTCCTAGTTGTGTAGGCACTGCAGGTAAGAATACGTGTTTTAAGTGAACACTCATCAAAGAAGTCAACTTTTTAAAATTATTATTATTTCTGCTCTATTCTGTATATAAGGATAGGAAATTAATGACCAAACTGCTCAAGCTTAGTCTTCTGGTTCAGTTTTTTTTTTTTTTTAACAACACAAACAGATTTTATTTATCTAATCTTTTGAAAAAGAACAGTTTGCACAGAACTTGTCAACATATGCCTGTACTCACTAAAATCCCTGTTTATCTAGCACTTAAGCCATTTGGCTGTAATAGTTATTTTCATGTTCTGTTACTGATGAGCCTTATGTAGCATACAGTATTATTTTGTTTTGTTCAGTAAATAATAATGATAATGATGATGATGATAATAATAATAATAATAAATTGTTATTATTATCATCATCATCATCTTGAGCAACCTGGTCTGGAGGAAGGTGTCCTTGTTTATAGAGGGGCTTGGAACTAGATGATCTTAGAGATCCCTTCCAACCCAAATCATTCTATGATTAGAGAGATTGAGTAAGGAAAAAGAGTTAAAAATAACATACTCTAACACCAGTGAAGTTAAAGCAGAAATTTGGAGAAATGTAGGCAACTACTGAATATATAAATCCTTGTAAATATCTTTCTGAATCTATAAAGGAAATTATGACTTAGCTGTGGAGCAAAGAAATAAATATTTGTTTCTGTGCATGTTTTCTTTTTGATCCTTAGAGTTTGGTTTCCTCCTCCCTCCCTCAGAACAATATCCAGAGAGGTGTGCAAAACATGCAGTGTAAAACTACCTCTACCCTGATGAAACATCTTATTGTAGACTAAAACATGCTTGGTGCTCCCTACATGCAGTACTCACTCTAATACATCTCTGTTGAACTGCTTCTGTCGATTTCCCAAGAACTCTCCAATCATTTGTCGGCTGAGACCTTTTCTTTGCAGGAGAAAGTGAGCAACCCCAACGGGAGTGTCGGGCACGAAACCTCGCTCAATTAGGTACTGGACTCCTTTTTCAGGTTTTCTGAGGAGAAAAGAGAAGACAAAACAATATATATATATTTTTTTTCCATTGAAGACGTCTGACTAGAACTTTATAGCCGTTTTCCTATCACTTCTGACTAACATACCACTACGGGCTCGTATAGTTTCAGGGTAATTGTAATCATGCCACAGAGCACGTGGTTTGCTGTTGATTGCTTACTGGCTTTGAAACAGACCTTTGCATGCTTTTACACATTTCCTGTTCCATACCCTTTTCCAAAGAGAAGCTTTAGCTTCAGGCATGAAAGTCAGCACTTGTGAAAGGAAAAGAAAAGCCCAAAGAACCCAGAAAGTAACAGAAGAACACCACTGACAACCTCAAACCTCTGCTCTCATAAGTTCAGCTAATCAAACAAAAACATCTGAACAGGTATAGCTTGCAAGCTAAGAAAACAAAAAATAAGGGGAAAAAAAAGAAAAGTAATACATAAAGAAGCATTTAAGATAGCAGAGTTCCCATCTAATTTTGTCTTTTTTTTGCCTTGTCCTTTACCTTACCAGAACTCTTACCCCCAGATTTACCTCCCTCAGAGGTAAACCATCATATTTTCTGGAGTATTTTACATCTCTTTCTACCTCAGCTTCAGATTTAGCTGCAATCATCTTCAGATCTCAAAGCATTTTACTCATTTTAACATGTTAAGCAGAGTTTGTTGGGGAGGAGAGTTGGGCAATGAAGTGATTTTGGGCAATAAAATATAATTTTATAAAGACAAACTCTGCTTACAGTATAAAGTGAGGTGAAACTCCCCTCACAGCATGCATTGTGCACTGCGCTTTCCAGCAGCACGAGACAACACATAACCATAAGTTCTCTTCAAGACAGTAAAGGAATGCCTTCACAGAATCAGTAATCCTATCACCATCTTTATTTTGCAAGAACTTATAATACAGTGCCCACCCTTAGAAATGAGTGACACGCACCACTTCTGCCTACTGAGAACAGAGTAGATCCTTCGATGTGGTGACTGCCGAGAGTCTTCCACGATCGGGAAAATTCCTAGCGATGGCTTGTTGATGACACATACAGGGAAGGTAAGAGTCTATGAATAGCAGTAGTGGAAACTGCATAAGCCGTGTAATTATTTTCAGATACATTCACTAATATAAAAAAAATCCTCTAAGCTCACACCTTACATAGCTGATGATACACATATTTACAGGACTTTTCACATTTACAGGACTGCCACACGTCCAAAACCAAGCTAAAAATCCAACTCAAAAGAATATATCAAAACGAATATAGGGAAAGGAAGAAAAAAAGAAACAACTAGTACAAAAAGATGTGGAAAAGAAATATTGAATTAAGGTTTTCAGATGCTGCATAAAAGGCTAAGGAATTTCCTAGAAACTGGCTAATAATACCTTTGGGATGGTTTAAAGTGGCATTCAGGGAAAAATAATGGGAAAACAAAAGTAATAAAATTTTGAAAATAGTTGATCAAAAGAGTGCACGTTTAAAAGCATGCTTTTTAGAGAGCACTGATCATGATCACAGCCAGTACAAATGGTAACCTTCATGTGTTTCTGAAGACTCGTTGGATCCCCAACAATTACTGGAAATAGACATTTTTAAAGGAAAACACATTCCAGGAATGAAGATTACAGCAAAATCAGACACAAATACAATAGTATAAGAAAGAAAAGGAAAAAGATAAAAAAAAAAAAAAAAAGCAGCTTTTTCTTATCCCTACACCAAGATAACAAACCCCTGCACATCACTGCTGTATCCTTTACTCCTTAAAATAATTTAAACATGAATATTTAGAAAATCTAAAATGTGCTGTAGTTACTAGAAGGAGATTACTTCTTTACTTACTCAGCAACTTATACACGTAGTACTGCAAGCATAACTTCAGGGGAAGCTTATATAGCTTGCTGATTTATCTTTTGGCTAAGTCTTAGACATTTGTCTAAATCTGCTAGATCAGTAGCTTGTTGGGGGAGCAAAGATAGGTATGCTTAAGAGTTTTGCTAATGTAATTGATCAACAAAGCTTTTCTAAAAAGAATCTAAGTATTTAATAGCACAGGGTAGAAGAAAAGATGAAATAATGGGGTAGTACTACCAGTTGGTACATTCCCAAGAAATAAAACCAACCCCGCAGTCCATGAATGACTACATAAGGACTGTCAAAATCACGTAAACGCAGACACTGGTTTGACATTTCCTCTGCTTGAATTCTGTTTTCAGAGACGCTCAAGACATACCAGAATTTAATAATACCACTGCACAGTAGATCATAAAAACATATAAGGAAACCAAGAAAGCCACCATCAGGACCAGATCCTCTCTCCAGGGTGGGCAGGAGAACAATGTGGGATGGCTGACCCACTTCCCAAGCTGGTGCAGCTGCCAACAGCTGTGCTCACACAACCCAGCAAGCAGCGTAGCAGCAGGGGCAGAGCACAGATTGCAGGTTAAGCCACAAAAGGATTCACTTAGAAATACCCATTTATGCTGCTGCCATTGGACATAAAGCAACACTAGATTCAAAAAGTTAGTGTTATTTGGAAAATATGGCTTCGTGTTATCCAGATATTCAAAACGGTATCTTTCAAACTGTAGGAAATAATTAAAAACAAACAAAATGCAGTGAATTTGAAAAGTGAATTGGGTAAAAGAAAAGCTTTTAGCCAGGCTACAGATGGTAAGGATCAGCACTAACTTACCATTTACTGTCATCTACTAGACTTCGTGGTACAACCAGTCTTGATGTAAAACACCTTGAACTTAAGGGCTGTGGTCTGGTGAGTCTTTCAATGGCAGTGCCAGTACCAGCATCTGCCTCTTCTCTCATTCCCATTGCTAGCTCAAGATAAATTGAACTAGGAGAGAAAGCGGTTTTTGTGTTTTTTTTTAATCCAGACAAGAACTTCACCTAGCTGCACTTACAGCTGTAACAAAAAAGCCAGAGCACAGCTGCAGGGTCACTGCCTCACTTGTGCGGAACAGCAAACACTGTGTCCGAAAAAACAACTCAGCAAAACCACCTGCAAAGGTGTATAAAGCCTTCCCTGCTTTTGACTTGCTGGATACGTAAGCATAGAAGCATCTCAAACCACATTAAATCTTTTATTTCCTTTTAAATGCTCAGACAGCAAAGCTGCAAAATGGAAGCATTAAGAAACAAATGAGCACTGAAAACAGCTTGCCCAAGTCTATCTAATATCTAGCAATGCCAGAAGTATCTTCCAAGGTAAACTAAGACTTTATTCACACAATAGAAATAACCACAGACATACTGTTCAGCCACTGTTCAATCTTTTCATGCTGCAGGGGGAGAATTTAATGCAGCTCCAATGACAGCCCTGTGTTAGAAAACAAAAAAAAAGAAAAAAAAAAAAAGAAAGAAAATCTTCCTTGTCTTTAATACTAGAGACACTGTTCTGAAAATATTTACAGTTCTCAAATACTAAGCATTAGCTTCTAACTAAAATCCAAGGATGGCTCTTTTAATTGAAAGAACCTAAGGCTTTTCTTGGTTACATTTAATAAATCAGTGCTTTTTTAAAATTGCAGCTGTGGGAGTAACAAACTGACTGAACATTCTCCTGTTTGGCAGGCAGCTACATTTTGTTCCCATGGCCGTATTTCTTCACTTTTGTTAAATACTCTACTGCTGCTGCAGTGACTCTAAGAGAAGCACTAAGCCCGTTTTACACCTTCTAAGAGAGAAGAAAAGCTATATACTTCAAATACTACCAACATTAGTACCAAGACAAGCTGTCAAAGTTCACTCAACCATGCAGCAAGGCAAGAAAGAGACTGATAGGAAAAAAATTTAGAGAAACGGATGGTATCTTCCTCATGTTACACAACTGGGCAATGAAGAGGAAGAAGAATTAGATGTACACTGCATCTTCTGGTAATTTTAGAGTCAGTAGGTCGAAAAGCAAATATATAACTGTGCCTTTCTTATAGCGCCTCTTTTTTTTTTCTTTTTCTCTTTTTTTCCCATGAGATCAGAGAGACAGTCATCCACACTCCTTGGATAGAAGCCCTACAGGTTCTCCTGTATTGTAAAAGATTTCTCCCCATCCAATTATAAAAGATTACTCTTCTTTGCCTCTCTTGTTCAAGACCAAACAAAAAAACTACCACCAGACTGGTAGAGATCCCAGTTTACTTGCAATTACACCAAATTACCCGGAGGAACGTTCGTTCAGTGACAGTTAATTTGTACTACTGACAATAACAAAATAATTCACTAGGAAGTGATCTCAGTGACCACTTTTATTTCATTTGGAAGCAAAATAAAGACAGGAAACTTAGTGAACATTTGCTTTGAAAAATAAGTAGCTAAACAATTCTACAATTACTTTCCATCTGATGGATTCTTTATGCGACCATTCCCTAGTAAAGTGCTAGGAACCTAAACATTTCACATCATCGCTCTTACTGAATGCTTAGGCTTCTCTGAAAATTATCACCTGAATTAGATTTGATTCAGTCACTTAGTACAGATCTGTACTAAGTGCAGGGTATATGAAAGTCAGCTAAAGGCTCCGAGCAGATTAAGTCTGGGTCATTCTAATGAAGTGAAAGACTAGAATTTAAAGCTATTGGAGAAATAGTTTTTTTCTGTATGAGAGGCATCAGCCTCGAGGGGAAAAGCAGTCCACACAGTGAAGAGAACCACAGGCACATCCCAGGCAGTTGCAGTGCAGTAGCTGGACAAGCCCTGGCTACCAATAACAATCCTGAGTCATCACACTACAGCAGATTCTCTGGCTCCTCATTATTCTCTCTTTCAGCAGTGTCACTTTTTTGGAGTGTTTTGTTTTGCTTTGCTTTTTCACTTTTACTTTCCTCACAAGAAGGAGGAAAATTCTCTTTTATTTAGAGAAATAAAAGAACCAAAAACACCATATGAGGATTTTCTCACCATGTCTGACCCAACTGTATCTCTGCATTTGTCAAAGCGTAGGGAAAAGACTTTCCAGCAGCCAGACTAAAACATCTCTGCTTTGAAAGAAG